CTCTAATTACATGTTTATTAAATAAGTAACTTTAAAAACATTATGAATGGTCATATTTTAAAATTCATCTGTAAGTAGAGTTTGCTTTGTTTTTTTAATAACCGAATTTATTTTCCCTAGACATAAAGACCTTACTACCAACAATGAAAGCAGAAATTCGGAGCTATTTTCCAGAAAGCTGGTTATGGGAGGTTCATCATGTTCCCAAAAGGTATCATATGTCTTTGATGTGGAAAATTCAAATATTATTACCAAGAATCTGGACACAGATTTTCCCACAGTTAACAAGATTCTACTATTGTGTTTAATTTTGTTTCACTCATATTGTTTAATGTACTTTTTTCTGATAATTGCATTCAAGACAGCACTAATTACTAGTAAAGAAAGATACTATCCCATTGAATTTAATTTCTCTTTAATATAAATTTACTATAAACAGCTATGTCCTACACACTGCATTAGGCAGCTATTTTCATCCTTAAAAAAGTATCTGTGGGGCTAGAGAAATGGCTCAGTGGTTAAGAACACTCACTATTCATCCAAATGATCTGGGTTGGATTCCCAGTGCCCACATGGTGACTAACAACTGTCCATAATTCTAGTTCCAGGGGATCTGGCGCCCTCTTCTGGCCTCTCTGGGCATTGCGTGCATGTGGTGCACTTGCAGGCAAAACACTCATACACATAAAATTAAAATAATGAATAAAATATTTTAAGTATCTGTACTATAAAACAAGCAGATAAACAAAAATAAGGGTTATTTTCTTGTTAACATCCTTAGACATTTTAATGGGATGCTTCCCTGTGCCAGGTACTGAAAGCTGTGTTGAGCAATACTGAACCCTACCACATCATACCTTGGCAAGCTCCAAACACTGGCTTTCCCATGGTTCAGAGTAACAGTAGTCTCTTCATGGGTTTCCTTGTTCTTAAGCTCTTCTCCTTTAAATTATTCCACACTGTCATCCATTTCACCTCACACTGATCCTTATCTAGCACTTCTAGTAAAATTTCCCAGTACTATCCTGCACCTTAATGATAACTCAATTACCTGTTCCAATTAACCCTGTTGCATGGATCATATAGCATCACAGGGTTTACTTACCCATCTCCTTCATTAAAATGGAAATACCTCCAAAGTAAATGTTAAGTTCAGATATCTATTTTATATCTAGGACCTGGCCTTAGAATCTTGGATCCTGCTTGTAGAGGTATGGATACAGATGTGGTGAATGAACTCATTTTTTTGAGACAGGGCCTCCCTAGTAACCCCAGTTGGCCTGGAACTTGCTATGTAGACCAGGCTGGCCTCAATCTCATAGAGATCCACCATTTTCTGCCTCCCAAGTGCTGGGATAAAAAGTGAGCACCACCACGCCAGGCCTGAGTGAAACGTTTAATGTTTTATTAATACTATGGTTACAGTGGAGTGAATCTTAACTTATTTATCTTCCATTAGACCTGGATGAAACCAGTACTATAACTTAAAAGTGCTATGTACTCAGTATTTGAAATTATGCCTGATACAAAGTTAGAGAGCAATCACTGCAAATAAATATGCAAGTTTAGTCATAACCATATTTTAATTATATCAATTTGTTATAAGCAGTGTTACAAGATTGTACTTCACTATTTTAGCACACAATAACATCGAACATATTTTTCTTTGTATTATATTCTCTAATTTTGCAATTTTCAAAGGTATCCTTCTCAACTTGAAAGTTCACCTTAATGTCTAAAATCCCGGAGTGGGGTGGCTCAGAGGTTAGGACCACTGGCTGCTCTCGGAGAGGACCCAAGTTTACTTAGTCACCTAACAACTGTCTGTAGCTCAAGTTCCAGAGGCTCCACCTCCCTCTTCTGGCCTCCTTGGACACTACATGCATGTGGTGTACATACATACATGCAGGCAAAACATTCATATAAATAAAAAATCTTTAAAAAGAACATAGAATAGGTGGGAGAGTTGCTGAGTATATATTTTTCTTGATGGGTTTTTCCTTGATACCTGGTGCAATTTTTGTCTTGTGAATTTTTCTTCTAAAATATTATAAAGCACTATACTATTTGGCTCATGCTTCACTGTAGTTGAGTATTATCAGTTACTTTTCCTGCTGCTGTGATCAAACATCCTGACAAAAGCAAGTTGAAGGAGGAAGTATTTGGCTAATAGTTCTAGGGTACAGTCCATCGTGATGGGGAAGTCCTGGTGGCAGTCCTTGGGGCAGCTGGTCAAGCTGGATCCACAGTCAGGAAGCAGAGTAACGAATGCTTGCACTCAGGTAGCTTTCTCTCTTTTTATGCAGTCTAGAATTCAAAACCAAGGAATGTACTAGCTACTTTTAGGGTAGGGCTTCCCACCTCAAATAGCCTAACCAGGATAATGGCTCACAGGCATGGCCAAAGGCTAACCTAACCAAGGCAATCCCTCACAGGCATGCCCAGAGACTTATCTCCCAGGTGATTATAGATCCTGTCAAGTTGACATTATTAACCATTACAAATACCAACATTTTAACTTCCAGAAACCAGCTGCAGGTTGTGCTGCCCGATTCTCTAACTACCTGGGAAATTCAAGGCATTGGCATTTCAAACAGTGGTAAGAAATTGTGAATCATTACTCACCTCAGGAGTAATTTACTCAACAAGATGTAGCTCTTCGTTATTGTATCTGTAGTCTACCCAGCATACAAGTGGCATAATTTTTAGTATTCCTATTTCCAAGACCTCAATGTACCTACACCTTTGAAGCTCCTGAATCTCCTTTGCTCTTCTACTGTCATTTATAAATGTGTTCAAATCCTCATTTTCTTCACTTTTACAGTCAATGGGACCTTGAGTAGAGTCAGAAACAAATCTGTGACTTCTCTCTTCAGTTGATGCCCCTTGAAATGATTTAGTGCAGATACTTTATAAATAACTGCTGGGGTTCCTTTGATTTGTTTGATACTTTCATAAAACCTTGATTTGGCTGGGCATTGGTGGCACACACCTTTAATCCCAGCTTGGTGGGGGTCAGAGATACGTGGATGCCTGTGAGTTCAAGGCCAGCCTGGTCTACATAGTGAGTTCCAGGCCTGCTGGGGCTATTAGGACATTCTGCCTCAAAAAGAACCAAAAAAAAATCTTTTTATGCTCATTTAGTGAAGTCAGTAACAAATATCTTTTAAACATTTGGTACTTATGAACAAATTAAGTTTTCTGTGAATACCGATAATTATAAAAATAAAGAGTATGGCCTACAAGATGGCTCAGTGGGAAAAGGTGCTTGCCTCCAAGACTGACAGCCCGAGTTCAATCCCTGGGACTCATATGGTGGAAGGAGAGAACCAACTCCCAAGGGTTGTCCTCTGACCTTCACACACATACTGTGGCATATATGTGTTCACACATATTAAATAAATAATGAGATAAAATTTTTTAAATATAAAGAATAGTAAAAGATCAGTGAGGGGCTCCAGGGATACTTCATTCGGCAAGATGCCTGCCTTGCAAGCACTAGGGCCTGAATTCAATCCCAGAACCCATGTGAAAAAGCCACGTGATGTAGCAGGAAGAGCTTGCAATCCCAGGACCAGGGAGGCAGAGACAGGAAGATCCCTGGGGCTCTCCCTGGCAGTCCAGTTTACTTAGCAAATTCCAAGTCAGTAAAAGACCCTATTTCCAAAAAAAATATTGTGTATGGCGCCTGAGGAATGACACTGAGGTTGTCCTCCCACTTCCACACACATGTGCACAGGCACGCACCCGCAAATAAAGATCAGTGAGCCAAAAGGTCAAGAATATAGGATGATACTACACAGGAGAATATGACCTAATATTCTTTTTAAAGAAAGAAAGTGTGGGGCTGGAGAGATGGCTCAGAGGTTAAGAACACTGATTGTTCTTGCAGAAGACCCAGGTTCGAATCCCAGCACCCACATGGCAGCTAACAACTGTCTGTAACTCCAGTTCCAGGGGATCCAGCTCTCTGTCTCTTCTCTCCTCCGGGGGTGTTGCACGACATGGGTACACTTAAGTACATGCAGGCATAACACTCATACATATAAGATAAATAAAATATTTTTTTAAAAAAGAAAGGAAATGTGAGATATTTCAGTACCATAAGAATCCCCTAATGTGTTCCTACCTTGCTTTTCCTTTGGACTGAAGGTATATGTGTTGCTGATACAATCAAAGCAAAGGTGTTCAAAGACGTCTTCCTGGAGATGAACATGCCATATTCTGTTGTACGAGGGGAACAAATCCAATTAAAAGGAACTGTTTACAACTATAGGACTTCAGAGATGATGGTGAGTAGTTAGTTGTGCTATGTTAGAATAAATGAGAAAAAGGAACACTGTCTGCTTGCCTGAGAACATCATCAGAGTAATTATGACACACATGAAAACAAAATCCAACTCTGATCAGTAGTATAAACCAAGCACATGTGGGAAGGATCCCCAGAACAGGAGTTACAGATGGTTGTTAGCCACCATGTGGGTGCTGGGAACCAAACTCAGGTCCTCTGGAAGAACAGCCAGTTAACAATGCTCTTAACCACTGAGCCATCTCTCCAATCCCACTTCCATCATAAAATAAGTACATCCTTGGTATTTCAGGGTTAGCGTCCATCATTATCTTTCCTTTTGAGTGTGAATTATGTTTTCCTGTCCCCTGATATCTAGTAATTTTGAACTGAACTTGATACATTATTAATTGAAGTCATATAAAGATTCTGGAGTATATGTGGGCCTATGGAGAGTATTTGGGTTTCTTTATGTATTTAACAGGCGATTAGCTAAATTTCATCCAAAATTCTAAAATCTCTGTTCAGCTCTTCTAGCCCTGACTGGGATACTTGGAGTCTGTGTTCTGTGTGGTTCAAAGCTCAGCAGGGTTTGAACTTGGAGCTCCTTCACCTTTGAGCTGTGGTACCCATCTCATACACTGCCTAGAAAGGTGGCAGCTTTCTACTGGGGATTTAGCCACTGCTTAAGGCCCACCCTCAGGGAAGCTGTGAAGAGAGGACACTCATCCAAGCGTCATTCCTTTCTTCCAAGTGTTGATTTCCCTTCCATTCTCTAGATCCTTCTTTCTGTTGTTTGTGTCCATGTCTTATCTAGAGCTCATAGCTGTTTTTGCTGATGGGTTGTTGTGAGGTACTTCACCAGGGAAGAACACTCAGACACAAAGTATTGCCGAAAGGAAGTGCTTCTTAGCCGGCCAGTGATGACACTTGGCAATCAATCCCAAGCCCAGTCCCAAGCCTTTCTTAGGGTAAGCTTTTATATAGAAAAAACACATCCAGGGGTGAAAAGTTTAAGTTCCCAAGCTCAGGGGTGGAAAGTCCCCCTTAATAATTTCTATTCTGCAAGAACAAATCAAGCGGAAACTACAGAAGTCATAAATCTGCTGTTAGCAAGAGCAACCAGGTGAACACCAACCTGTTCTCAAATTCACACCTTGGTGCACCTGAGTGAAATTTTTCCATTCCCACATTTTGAGTTAACTGCCTCTGGATTTAACTACTGGGTTTAGCTGGGGCTTACTTGTAACATGGCATAACTATGGTCAGTCTTGATGTGCCCCACCACAGGGTTGTCTAACAGGAAAGCTTCATGGAAATCACTGAAGCAAGAACCTCATGTAGCTTTTACCTATATTGCCCACCAATTTCAAATATTCTTTGCTAATTTCAATTTACCTCAAGTATTTATTGTGGTTAGTTTGGTTGGGTTGGGGAGTTTTGGTTTGTTTTGCTGTTGGTTGCTGTTGTTTCTAGACAGGGTCTCACTGTGTAGTCCAAGCTAGCTTGGAGCTTGCTACATAGCCCAAGCTGGCCTCAAGCTCATGAATCTGAGTCAGCCTCCCGAGTGATGGGATCAAAGCCTCATGCCACTATGCCCAGCTATTGTAAGTTTTATCCAATGACTTCTAGGTCTTTCCCTGCCTTATCACTTCAATGCTGGGGAATCCTTGGCTCATCATCTTCTCTAGCTCCTTCCCCATCAATCCTGCTTGACACTGTCACAAAACAGTGACTAAAAGGAAAAAAGATCTCTATATTTTTGAGATATTCCTCAAGATTATCTGTTGAAGGTCAGCATTCTTTCATGCTTACTGCTTGTTCTGGTCTGGATTTTTATGTATTGATTCTTTAGAGTATAGTTCTTGATTCTGTAAGTTCACCAGATATGAAGATGAAAACATATTCACTATGTTAGCCAGAAGTCAATGAATACCGTTACCAGAAGAGAGTGATCGTGTGACCTGTTTCCATAACACAGTTCCTGAAAGGAGAGTCAAGATTGAAATCAAGGTCTTTCTAGAGTATTTTGTAAAATAAGGTATAACTGGGAGGTAAATAAGATTGTAAATGTGAGTTGAGTACACATTGGGCAATCTGTTGAATGAACCAAGATGTATAGTTTTCAATCACCATCAAATATTATTTATTATGAATCAAAGTCCAAATAAATAAAAGGTGCAAGTAAGACCCTGAGGAGCCAAGCCTGAGGTCCCTACTATCAAAAACACAAACACATAAAGAGATGAGAGAAAGGTACAGGCACAGTAGCAAAGAACTGCAGTAGCTTTGAGTCTACTCATAGGCAAGATTCTAAGAAAGTTACGACACTCTGAGCTAGTCCTGAGCCGTCTAGATGTCCCTTGACATCGCTAAGGCCCACAGCACCTTGTGTGTATATGTAGAAAATCTGAAACAAGCTTTCTCCCATGTCTTAGAACCTATGGGGTTACTCTGACATTGCTAAGCAACCAGGGGAGAATCTGTGTCCAGACAAGCATAACTTTCTTAGAGATAAAGTATTTTTTGGCTTTTTCATAAAATGTGTCTGGAATGACAGAGTATTCTGATATAATTCTTCATGCATGATATTTCAGTTCTGTGTGAAAATGTCTACTGTGGAGGGAATCTGTACATCAGGAAGCTCAGCTGTTAACCACCAGGCTTCGAAGTCCTCCCGATGTGTGCCCCAGAGGGTAGGAGGCTCCTCCAGCCACCTGGTGACCTTCAGCCTTCTTCCACTGGAAATTGGCCTTCATACCATCAACTTTTCACTGGAGACTTCATTTGGAAAAGAAATCTTAGTAAAAACATTACGAGTGGTGGTAAGAAAAACATCATTCTTTTTAAAAATACTTTTTTTCCTGGAAAAATGTAATCAATAAACTGTGTAAATAATTAGGTTTGGGGGAGGGAGGGA